GGAATGCTACTTCCGCCGCGTCACCGGAAGTTTCACCCACTTTATTTTTTACAGGAGCGCCCCTCGGAAACTTGTGGATTGAGGAACCCTGCTGTACACTGTGACCATGAATGCCATTTTTTGGTAGCATTCTTTCTCTTGTCACCAAAATGGATGTGGCAGACACAGTGTCTTGACCTACCAAGAAAAAACGAAATAAAAACAAAAGATAAGTTATTTTTTAATGTAAATTTTGTAATCAATCAATCAACCAACCAACAGTAAACATATTTAAAATAATGGCAGCTATTTCTGTTACAACTGGCCAGCTCAACTTAAAGCTTGCAAGCTCAGCGACTTTGAGTTGATCTGATATGGTGGTTGAATACTACAAAAGTCATCTCTTATAGTGACAACCTGAAAAAAAAATACAGACACACAAGCCTCATATTATAATAATAATAATGTATTTTACTTATAAAGCACTTTACCTCTGTGAAACAAGTCTCAAAGTGCTGTATCATATACATCATAAATGTTATCCTAAAATATTTTAACTTAAACATTTTCATATGAAGACTCTGCAATAGACAAATAAGACTCGTGGTTGCAAGGAGAATGTATATTTTGCTGTGGAATAGTACAATTTCGATACATACTGTAATCTGCCGTCATCATAACGACATAAGTGGCTGAAGAAGTTCCAGGGAAGTTCTCTGCTTTCTGCTGTGCACCTATAAAACAATATGATTAAAAACTCAATACTTATCTTGTACCTTAATGGAAAACTTCTAATCCAATTTGTCAGCATTTACATGAACCATGATTATTGGATACAGTAAGCAGTGTTAGTATTGACATTCACTGGACACTTTATTATATACAGCTGTTCTACTGCTTATGAACACAAATATCTAATCAGCCAATCACATAGCAGCATCTCAACACATCTAGTCATGTAGACATGGTGAAGAAGACTTGCTGAAGTTCAACCTGAGCATCAGAATGAGGAAGAAAGGGGATTTAAAGGACTCTGAATGTGGCATGGTTGTTGGTCTAAATATTACTGTGATTTTCACCCATAACCATTTTTAGGGTTTCCAGAGAATGGTCTTAAAAATGCAGAAAATAAATGAAGAGTTCAGATGCAAAAGCCTCTAAATGACGTTTGAAATTTTCTTCTAGAATGGTCATTTTTTATCAAGCTTGTATATTTAAGTTCAGTAATTTCACTTAAATAACAATTAATAGGTAATCTTCATTGCCATTTAAGTGAAATTACTGAACTTAAATATACAAGCTTGATAAAAATGATCATTTTAGAAGAAAATTTCAAATGGCACTTAGAGGCTTTTGCATCTGAACTCTTCAAATATTGCTCCACGTTTCAGCTCCACGTTCAGATGGTAGGCTCAGAATCTACTGGAGACATCATGAAAGCATGGATCCATCCTGCCGCCGATCAACGCTTCAGCTGCTGCTACTGGAATGGTGGTGGGGGGGTTTCTTGTCCCACTTTGGGCCCCTTAGTCCCAACTTGGTATGGTTTAACCAGCACAGACTACCTGAGTATTGCTGCTGACCATGTCCATCCCTTTCTGAGCATAGTGGAGCATCTTCTGATGGCTACTTCCATCAGGATAATGCATCATGTAACAAAGCTCAGATCATCTCCAGCTGCTTTTTTTCAACATCATAATGAGTTCACTGTCCTCCAACATCCTCCACAGTCACCAGATCTTGTATGGTGTCACGTGTTACGGTGTCCAGAAACCACTTAAAATATGCGCCGTTTGGATGTTTCTTTGCGCTGTGGGTGTGATCCCTACTGCATGCGAAGCCCTATGTGATATTAATTTTTCTTTTTGAAAAATAAATATGGTTAAACAATTTGTGAGCTTTTCTCTCTTTTTCTGTTAGTTTTGTGAGCATTTGTCTGTGCACTAATCTCAATCCAATAAAATGCATTTGGGTTGTAGCCACTGGCATTAAAAAGAAAGCAGTTAGAAATAATTACCATTTCTACACATGGGTTCCAGTAACTCTTCCACTGATTGGCATCCTTCCTTTGTATGGATATTGTCTGCTGTGGCTTCTGGGTCCATGTCCTCAAGAACACCCTCTCCCATCCCAGTCGGATTGCATTGTGTCGCATCTGCTTTATATATGTTAAGGCAAAAAAAAAGGTACACTTACTGTATGAAGGATATGCATGACACGAAATTGCTGGAGTAAAAAAATCCTACAGTATCAAACAGGGAATATAAGTTACAACAATGAAAGGAATAGATTTATTCATTTTATAGTTTGTAAATGTAAACCACTGTAATGGGCAGTCAATCTCCAAAATCATATTCAACTATGTAAAGACTATCTGGAGAGGTGCCTTAAAAATGGTGTTGCACTATAATTTTGATTCTGGAACAAAACACAAAAATCAGTTTGGGATATTTATAATGGCCTTGCACAATATTGTAATATTTTTATTACCTCATTATTCGCTCAGTGTTCAAAGAGCGAAATAGCATGCAGAAAAACAACTCCCACTAGTAAATCTAATTGGTTTCTTCCATAAACAGATGGATTCCTTAGACCAAGGCCATTTGGCAGTCCAACTACCTTCAGGCCTCGGTTTAACAAGCCCTGGTAAGGGAGCCTTCCAGAACCTCCAGCCTCCTCTGAAAGACATGAATATGCTCATGCATGCATACAATTTTTCAGTTTGACCGCACAGAACGTCTCGGTGGCTGATGGGTAGCGCCGCCATATTGTGAAGCCATCTCGCCATTCCTCTCAATGATCTGTAGCCTGACGCGAATCCGGACCGCTATTATATAACGCTAAAGTAAACATTTAGATTTAACTTATTTTAAAGTTATGGGAAGAACTTGTTGTGTTGTCGGCTGTAATGTTCGTTCACACGACCGACAAGGAAAAAAATTAGATTTTTTTTAGATAGACATTTTTTGATGTATTTTTCTTTTATTTACAAAGAAGTTGTTTCACTGTGGTGTTTTTTGTTTTGTTTATTTCTGTATTTATTTTTTGATGTCTTCTTGAAGGTAAACCATCATATGAAATGGATGAGTCAAATCCTGACTGGGCTCCAACACTGCACCTGGGACACTCTGATGTGCGTGCTACAGAGTCAGACCGGTATTCAATTCAATTAAATTCAAAAGCTTTATTGTCTATCCCCACAGAGGGTAGAAAATTGTCTTTAGACAAAGGCTCAACAAACAGTACGATACAAAAGACAATCACACAATTTAAAATACACCTCCTCCCTATTTCCTATTTAAAATATCATTGGCAGCAGTTGGAATAAAAGTCTTCTTATACTTGGCCTTTTTCACCAAAGGTACTTTATATCGTCTGCAAGGGATGTGAAGAGTCTGTCACAATAGCAGAGGCTTTCCTTTCCACTGCCACAGTGTAAAGATCAGTCAGAGCTACTTGTTTCTCACCATTCTCGTCGATTACAACGACATCAAATGACTGTGCCAGCAGCAGGAGATGACGGTGTATCCCAAATTCAGGTGGGAGCAGCACAAGAAAAGGAAGGTGTTGCCTTGCTTTTGGCTTGCTTAGTTGGGGGCATTTAATATTCAACAATATTATTGATCTGAGTTGTATTATTTTCATGTTATCGGTGTGAAGCTGCTTTGATACAATCTGTATTGTAAAAAGCACTATATAAATAAATGTGACTTGACTTGACCAGGCAGAGGCAGAAGTGGCAGCAGATGCGGGAGGTGGTGACCAGACAGAGGTGGGAGCTGTAGAAGATGAATGGGTGGATGTGGAAGCTGCAGAGGATGAGGAAGCTGGAAACCAGGCAGAAGATGAACCAGCAGTTAAGAGACAAAGAGCAGAATGTCAGTTCTTGATCCTTAAGGTATCAATCACGTTGTGTTGTGTGGTGTGAACAGCTAAACAACTTGAAAACTCCTGATTTCACAGAGAGCAAGACATGTAGTGTGAACCGCACAGTCCAGCCCGCTGTTTTAAAATCATGTAGTGTGAACAAGGCTTTAGTTAGCCAACTTTACTGAGATTTCTGGGCCGAAAACGGTTTGTAATTTGTTATTTATTTAATAATACAAGAGTATTCTACAATATAAATTTAAAAATGACATGTTTTTTTTTTTTGTGTGTGTGTAATTTATAGTCTAAAGGTAATGAGTGCCACAGGAATCCAGTCCTGAAACACAGAAACGAGTTTGCATTTAGACTTTCTGCTTTCATCATCCTGAAGTCGATGGGTTTTGAACATTTCTGAAATAAAGTATAAGGTGAACACAAGCTCAAGATTCATTTTATTCTACAAAATAACATGCATCAGTAATACCCCATTCATTATTTTTAAAAGCATTTACGTGCCTTGAAAAAAATGTCCACAAAGTAATTGAAAAATCTAAATAAATATATAATAACATAATAATAACTAAAATTAATAAACAAACATGTTCAAAAATTAGGGCATTCAATTTCCAATAATTTTTTTTTTTTTTTTAAATCACTGAAACAATATTTCACTTCAGTTCACTAAAGGGCTGATTTGCCCAATGTTTTAATTCAAAAGATAGTGTTTACTATTATACTAACGCTTATAACAATCAATAATCTAAGGAATATCCACATTTTTTCATTTATTTTTTATTCATTTGTATTTTATTTTTTAAATATATAAGCAAACATTTTCGGGCTCACTTCCTATAGGGCCCCTCTCTCAATTTTTAAATTGATGTATTATTTAAATACATAAAATGTGACAGATTCTTGAGAATTGTTTTATTAATTTATTGTTATTTAACATTAGCATTTTTTTTTGGTACTAAATCACATTAATGCAGCAACATTTTAATATTTTATTTTCATTTATTTTCTTGCAATTCTTACGCTCCTAACTTTCGGGTTAGCCTACGTCATTTCTGCGTCATCACGCTGCGTCATCACGCCTTAATTTCTTCTCACTCCAGTCCAGCAGCGGCGATAAAGCAACAACCACTCAAACTCGAGAAGAAGAAATAACGTTAGTGGTGCCATCTTGTTCCGCTAGCGTTAGCGTCAGTTAGTGTGTATCGCTCAACAACAGCACACTTTATAGTGGATAGCAGCAGGTTTTAAGTAAAAATATACAGCGTCTGACTTTCGATATTCTCAGAAGGACGCGTGTATTTAGTAAATAGTAGGAGTTATGTGAATCGGATAGAAATATCTCATACTGTTACTCTGAACGCGAAGACCCGCGTTTGAACAGGCCCAAATAACTCAAGCTTTATCAAATGATGTCTTCGTCACATACAATTGTAAAGATGGACTTTATAAAAGAGGAGAGTGAAGAAATGACGATTGCAGAGCCACCGGGTGTGAAAATTGAGCAAACAGATGAACAAGAAGGTTTGGTTCTTCATTATTTATTACTGTGTTTGGTAACAAAGCTTCACTGCTAGTTTTGGTGGCTATGAAATAACGATTAGATGGCATACATTGACGTAACTTTAGAGGGAAGATGCATGTTTAGATGCATAACTATAGTTTTGTAAGCTAGTAATGTGCCAGGTCTGACGGCAATAATACAAAAATCACATAATCGATAGCAGCTAGAGAAAGTACCATGCGACTCAGTATAATCAATTTCTGAAGCCATTTCTAACGATAGGATTTGGCGGAAATCAAATCATTTAATTAAAAAAAAAAAAAAAAGAATAATCGGCCGTTCTAGAGTGCAAGTTAGAAGTTCGAGGCGACACGCCTAGGAAAAAGCTCCACGCGCACTATTTTGATAAAATAAGATTACCCTGCTGAAAAAACTAACAATAGACACCCTTATATAATTTGTAATTGGTTTAATGGTTATAATGGGAATTGTTTTGATGGAGACGGTAATAGTCTCTACTGGCTATTTTTTGTCTTCTGTTGGTGGCATGTTAAACAACAACAGAAACCCCATTAAATCCTAATGGAATATCCCCAAAACACAACAGGACAAGGGTTGCCAGGTCTGTGTAATACAACCACGCCAAAGGAGTGACGCCAGAGTGTGTTGCCAGCCCAGACCCAATTTCATTGGTTTATAATACAGCAATCTTATTGGTGTAGTAGATGCTTGAGGTGTGTAGGCTGTACTACATAAATATGTAGGCAATACGGTACGAGAGGCTGTGCTGTATCGTGAATAAGTCACTTGGTTTATTTTTCAGAAACTTTAATGATGTAAAATCACTTAAACCCTTCTTTCCGCTGAAAAAAAATCACTGACCGTAAACAGCAACAGAAGTTACATACATTATTTCGCCATTAGATGGTGGCAAAGACTGTCTTTATGAGGGAAAACCCCTTGACTTTTAAAAGATATCTCTGGAGACATTCAAACTAGGGCTGGGCGATATGGCCAAAAAATCATATCTCGATATTTTTTGGTCAAATGGCGATATACGATATATATCTCGGTACTTTCTACGTTTTCTATTTAGATAAAGAAAATCTTTATATTAAAACATATATATATATATATATATATAAAGTATATTCACATTCGGCCCAATGATATCCTACAAACAATGTTGATATTGAAGGATATGGAAACAAATATAATATAGGCTATGCAATATATTATGTGCAAAAAGCTTTTGTTTTTATATTGACTAAAAGCTAAACTAAAAATGAAAATAAAAACAAAAACAAAAGCACAAACTAATTATATTAGCCCCCATTATAATCACTTTCACTTTCATTAAAAATATATACTTGTAGGCAAAAAAAAGTAAAAAAAAAAATTGTACCCGACCCGCTTCCTGACCGCATTTTTTTAAAGTAGTAAATGCTCATCGGAGCGTTATTGGGCCATATCCACAAGTTTCCGAGGGGCGCTCCTGTAAAAAATAAAGTGGGTGAAACTTCCGGTGACGCGGCGGAAGTAGCATTCCAATTAGTGTTGGGCGATATGCTCCATTTTCATATCGTCCTATCGTCAGCCTGTGAGATCGGCGATACACGATATTATCGTGAGGGGGCGGGGCTAACTTATTTGATTATTAACTTGATTATTGAGCCTATCATTAATTTGCTTGTTTTATTAGCCTACTTCGTTTTATATACGAGAATCTTTTTTCTATTTTCCTAGCAAAGGTGGAGTGTTTATTAATAGGATCAGGTTATTTCCTGGTATAGTGAGGTAAAAAAAAAAGAGATCCTAATCCTTTTGTTTGTCAATGGGAAATTTACGGACACATTAGCCTATCCTCATGCCGTTACATGCAGCATTTTGACTAGGGTCTATTTCTGCACGAGATGAAAACACGTTTTAATAATTTCTTGGGTCAGAAAGAGTCGGAGTTTGCGATATGTGCCTCCCTACCAGTGCGCTCTCTGCGCACTTCACATGCGCACTTCACAGTAAGCACGAAGTACGCGGGTTAATGTGTTTTAAATGCCGATAGAAGAGCAAGGGCCAAACGTCTAGCTGAGTCGATCGGTTTATACTTATACTTATGACTTGACTCTGATAAAGGAAACGTTTACATGACCACATGCATTGTCAAGTTTATTCAACATAATCAGGTTAAGAAAGTCGTCGCATGTAAACGCGCTCAATCTCTGAAAGTGAAAGTAAAAACGGACCGCTTTCGGCATCTGCATTAACGCCGCGTTCCCTCAGAGACGACGATGATAACGGTAACTGTAGCCTAACACTATTTTAGTGATGTTATTATTAATAGCTACTATTTAGTAATTGTATTGTTTTTAGTGTTAGTGTCATTAAACGTTTTGTTAATGTGTTACGGAAACAAATACTGACGAACAACGATGCCGTTTTCATCTTGGATCTGTAGGAAATTGAATTTTGCGTCTGTTAAAACGAGCACACTTGATAATTTGTGAATGGATCACCTTGCAATTAAATTTTGATGTGGGATGTTTTTTAGTCTGTTTTAAAAACATTCTCTTAGAGGAGTCCTCATTAGTGCGTGTGTTGTTGCAATTGTTATGAGATGATGTCGTTGTAAATTTAGGCAAGGCAAATTAATTGTAGTTCCTTATATTCATTTAATAACAATACTAGCTTTATAATAATAATAGGCCTAATAATAATAATTTAATACATTATGGTAAAACGAGCCAATTATCGTATTGATATCGTCAAAGGCATCTGCCATCGGCGATATGTCAGACTATCGTCGATACACGATACTATCGTCTATCGGCACAACCCTAATTCCAATGGTATTTTGTGTGTTAGTTAGCGAAGAGGCTAGCTGTTTTTCGGAGAATTATTTTACTATTTAAAGACGCAAATCTTTATGAGAGATGTCGTTACGGAGCTCAGGGACAACATGTGCTGTTCGCGGTTGTATGTATAACCGGACTAAACTAATTCAGTGGCTTAAACGTGATTGTTTTGAACATAAACGAAATCAGAGATATCCTACCAGAGCCCGTCTCTGATCCTGCCAACGACTGTAGTTTCCATCACCTCGCAAAAGACGACGAATCTTCCTGTGTACATTTGTTTAAATTCTTAATATTCTATAAACTCTATCCGCATGTGATTGGCTGTTCGCTACTGATGTTACACCTAAACTCAGGATCAAAGCCTGTGTTGACAGAATACCAAATGTGCCAGTTAATGTATTCAAGCAGCACATTCATTTATAATTTTGAATAAACTCCAAAGCACAATGACTAAGTGTGTATTTTTTATTTTAATTGTTTGTCAGCTCGCACATCTGTCTGTCACCATGCCTTGATGAGTATTGATTATTAATAATGTTATTATAATACTCCCAGTCAACTACTGCGGAGGGTAAAGGTACTGTTATTTCACCCTTTTGAATTTCGTTGAGGTTGTGATCCCACATCGTTAGCTATAACTTGAATGACTGTCAACTGTTGAATGAACGAGTGTCAAGCATGTCAAATCGCCCTTTGTTTACTTCCAACCGGAAGTCGCGCCCACTTTTGACGCAAGGCCTCATGGGGCATAGGAAACTTGTGGATAGACGTGTAACAACACAGCATCGCAAGAAGACGTAGGCCTACACATAACAAAGGCAAAGCCAGCACTTTGGTCATCATCTTTCATTATTTCAGCAAATGTCTCCCACACTTTTACTCTTTCTATTTGTGTATTTGCGGAGCTTCCACTCCCCAGTCTTCACCTTTTCTCTTGCCGCCTCCATCTCTCTGCAGACTGTAGTGATCATCGTAGACACGGCCGGTTCGTGAACGATTCGTTCTTTTGAACCGGTTCTTTTTAGTGAACCGGTCGAACCAGTACACTCGAACTGAATCGTTTGAAACAGTTCGCGTCTTGCGTCAGTGCTGATCCACAAGTTACTAAAGTTACTCACTTTCAGACATGCCTGACAGTCGCCTCCGAATCGAAATAAATCAATATCCTGAATTATATTTTACTCCAGTAACTCCAACAGTTCACTGAACCGAGACATGTTGCTGCCACTGTTGAGAGAAGTGATGAGCACGAGCAGCTGATACTGCGTATACCGAACGCACAGGGACAGCGGTTCTCGAATCACTAGTATAGAACCGAGAACTGTTTAGACTGAGCTTGTGTGTTATCTTCGTGCCAGTTATTCAGCCAATAATGTGTAGGGCTGTATATTTCATCAAAAACTGTGTCTAGTACTATATACAAATGTTTAATTGGCATCTTTTTTCAAACGACCCGACCGACCGCGACCCGAATATCATTAAAAACATTTTTGGATGACCCGTAACCGCGGGTGACAGCAGACACCCGCTCATTTCGGATCAACCCGCGCATCACTGGTGCAAACGTAGCAAAAGGTCTCCGTTTTTAAACGAAAACGCAGTAGTGTGGACGGGGCCTCAATCTCTCACAATACTCTAATCTAGCTTCAATGAACAAAATCAGTGAGATCAAACGTTGCTATGAGTGGTTGCTAGGGGTGTGGTGTAGTGATAGAACTGTTGGGTGAAGCGGTCATGGCCGTGTTTTATCGTAAATAAAACGGAACACAGCTCAGAACCAGTCAGGATTGACTGATTCTATTAATAATAAATGATAACTAGTGATTTTATTAACGATCAATTGGATAATGTTTTGATTAACTTAACACAAAATCAAGTTAAATGAGTTTACTGCACAAACAATCGCTTCAGACAGAACACTGTGGAATATGTGCTGCTAAATCTGGGGCCACGATATAGGCTAATTCTATATCAAGTCGAGTCAAATTTATTTGTAAAGTGCTCAATTCACATCGTTTCAAAGCAGTTTTACAAAAATAAAGTCATAAGCTTTAGTATTGGGCAGTTTTAGAGCTGGGTGATATAAAGAAATATGTTGCTGATAAAAATGATACACTATTTGAGATGTAGCTATATTATATATATTAATTTACCCAGTGGATTCGTCAATGCCACTTTTAGTGAGCAATGAGCATGATGAAATTAGCATTGCAAAGAAGACATTTTATAGGCTGATAGTAGAAAACATTTTCCACATGTCATGCAGAGTGCTGTAATTTTACATTCATTTATGCTTTTTCCATGTAAATTAGGCCTGTAGTCAACCAAATGTCGACCAAAGGATTGTCCTGTTCAACAATAAGTCGACAATTTTTTTTAAACAATTGACTTTTTTTTTACAATTTAGCATTTATAAAACAACAGATCAAACATCAAAAATACATAAAACTATAATAATAGCCTACAATTCTTTGAAAATTAAGTGAACTGCAAAAAGTGAGGAGCACTGTCCTACGTCTGTAGTGACAAGTCACAATTGCGCTCCTTACCACACGCCACAAAAAATATAACCGCTATCTGCCACATAATGAAAAATCCTAACAGATCTCGTTTAAAAAGGCTGTATATTATTCTTTACTTTCAAAGCTATGGGTTAACTTTCGTCCAGCCAATCTAGGCATTATAAAACAAACACAAAAAACAAATAGTCTAAAAAACAATACTAATAAAATGGGCTTTATTGTAGGAAGGCTTAAAGGTTTATTTTCGTTTCTTACATTACTTAGGCTATTTTCAAATCCGTAAAGTGTACAATTAAAAACAAAAACATAACAAACACAATCTATTGAGTCAGCATGATAAAGCCGTTAAAGGGCCTACTCACGTCTTTTACGCAAGTTAGCTTAAGGCCGCATAGCTTGCACTCCACAGTCTTGTCTTTTTTTTTTTTTGTAAAATGCTGCCAGACAAAAGATTTAGATTTCTTGAACACTTTGTCGACTAAACCCAAAACAAATATCCTTTACTGAGCATGAATTCAGCAGTGCAGCCAGCCACAGGTGCGAACCGAGTGTTCTGTGGTGCGCTAAACTGTGGTGCTGTTACCAAATAACTTAAATTATTAAAGCATTTAAAGTTAGGGATAAAACATATAATTATAATTTAGAATACAGTAATAAAGTAATAATTATATTTAGAATACAGTAATAAATAACTGCTTATAAAGGAATAAATATCAAGGAGTAAATCTTGGAAAATTTCTTTCTATTGGTAAAAAAATGCAACTGGTCGACCAATACGAATGTCAGTCGACCAAGACGCCATTGACCAATTAGTCGACTAAACGACTAAAGTTGACAGCCCTAACATAAATAATAAATGCAAACTCTGGATTTTACACAAATGATGATAATTCACTATTTCAGTTAGAGATGTTCAAATACCTTTTTTCCCTTACCGATACCTGGACCCAGGGTATCGGCCAATCCCTGAGTACTGATCCGATACCTGGTTGTATATCTATACAAGTCATACTAGCCCTGTATACATTGATATAATTATTTTATGGTGTGCTTTAGGGCTGAACGATTTTGGAAAATAATCTAATTGCGATTTTTTTAACCAATATTGCGATTGCGATTTAATATGCGATTTAAAAAAAAAGTTATTTACCATCTGTATTAGTCAACAAAGACAAGCAATAAATCATTGTACAGTAGGGATGGGAATCTTTAGATAGCTCATGATCCAATCTACTTTTTTTCTTATTAATTAATCTTAATAACTCTTAAAATATGTATTTAATTACATGTGTAAAAACACATACTTTAAAAAATAAATATAAAAAAACATTTAATTAAACCAATTACATGTTAAGAATTTTAAATAGGCTATATAAAATAATATAGCTTCAAAATATAAAAGCTAGTAAATAAAGAGAAACAAAAAAAACATTACAAGCAATAAACAAAGAGTGGTCTCAGTATTTAAAAGTAGGCTGTCTGAATGTTTTTCATTCAAGAGCTGGAGTGATTTCCCCTCAGTTTAGATATGATAAGCTGCATTCACACTAATGCATATATCTCTTTTGAAATTGTAAATGTGGTTTGTCCTGTTGGTTTAAGATATAACTGACCGTGTTTACATCAATTTCGCGTCATAAAAGCATTTTGACATGCAAGTACATTTACCAATGAGTCGCTCACGGCCGCATGCACGAGCGCTCTTCACAAAGCACGCGTTAGTATTTTAAAATGAAAGCAGCCTTCTCAGTGATTTTCATGGTTTTAATATAAGCCAACTGCATTCCAAAATACATAAATAATGCCTCTGTGAAGCATTTGTAAAGAAAATACCCGCGGGAGAGAACGCGCACTGCAAGAGTAAACGTTATAACATCAAGCAAAGCGGCAAAACCTGTTCAATGAAGCCCGCGAATGTCCTTGTAATTCGGTTTATTCCCGAACTTTATGAAATAACGTTACTATGTTTTGGAAGGTTCGAGCGGTGTCGTGTGTGTGAGTGAGGAAGAGAGAGAGCGAGAAAATAGAAGCAAGCAGATTCAGAACACGGTTCGTTTCTAAAGCACGCGCAGCGTCATCATGCATCTGTGTTTAAAAACTAAGCTCAGACTCGATTCTGAAATTCTCTGAATCGATCCAGGATTGTTGAGGAGAGAATAAATAACACAATAAACTGTTCTTTTCTGGACGCCAGACCGCGTAGCGTGGCAAGTTGACGGTTTATCTTGCAGACTGCTTTTCTCTCGCCTGTCACGTGACCCAGTGTAATCGCAGCTCTTGCGATTACAAAATCGCGTTTCATCATATCGCGATTTTATCGCAAATGCAATTAATCGTTCAGCCCTAGTGTGCTTCAGACTTATCCCTTAATAAAACGTCCTTTAAAGTCTTAGTCAAGTCACCTTCTATAGCGCTTTATATAACACAGGAGAATAAAAATCAATGATGAAAACTTGATCAAATAAAAGACTTTCAAATGATGCTGTAAGGCAGCTTTAAAAAGACTGTAGTATTATTATTTTTCTTTAGCTCAAATCAGATTAGCGTTGATTCAGTTCAACAAAGTGCATGGTATAACTTTGACCTTTTGTGAAAATTGAAAATGCCCCAGTTATGCTATTTTAAAGGGCACCTATTATGGCATTTAAAATGTAACTAATATTGTTCTGGGAGTCCCCAACAACAGTTTTACATGAATGCAATGACAAAAAACACTTTTGTTGTCTTATAATATGTATACCTGATTTGCTCACCGACTCCCGAATGATTTGTACGACTCATTTTTCCAAACCACTCCTTTGCGTGACTCTAATCGGCGGTGATTGGTCGGATGACCCAGTCAGTTATTGTTTGTTAGCCCAATGCATAAACATATTGATAAAGCACTGCAGTACTACAAGACGCTCTATTCTTTATGATAACTCCAATAACAGCGACAAACATTCCACATATTTAAAAAAATTGACATTGGAGACCTAGAAGCTGCGCTGAGCGTAACTTACACACACAGATGCACACACATACTTATTGCGCCTTCCCTCCTCGCGCCCCGGACGCTACAAAACCCATAGAAGCAACAATTATTAAAAATACTTACAGGTTGTGATTCGGAAAAGGAAGCTGATCCATATACACTGGGTAAGTAAGTTACTGAGCCCTCCTTCAGGAACAACCGCTTGCGAATCCACATTTGGATTCATTTATGTTTTTGAACGATTCGTAATTAAAATAATGAGAACACAATCGGGCTATACTAATGTGGTATCGTTGCAAATCTAAACTCTAACCACCGATTCTTCACATGCTCGTCCCTGGTAAATGAAAACAAAGTGGCTGAACTTTCTTTGCATTGTAGAACACAGCGTCTTCTCGACATGATGCTATGATTAAGTATTTGAATGTCTAGACTTCAAGTTTACACTTCCGTCTGCGCGCGCAGTAACTGGGCACGGGCAATATGCTTATGTTTCGTATCTATGTCACTACGAAACAGCTAATGACTCGTTTCAAAAACAATTCATTTCATAGACTCAGAGTCGACTCTCACTTTTGAAAGACAATAACTTTATATACGGTGCACTTTCAGATATAAATCTTTGCAGGATGTTTTCATTCCCTTAGAGTTATATTCCACACTACATGAAGTCATTTTCAAAAATCCATGATAGGGGCTCTTTAAAGGTTTCTGATTTTTTCAGAGGTCTCCTACATGATTACATGCATCAAAGTTAAAAAAAACACATTCATTTCCTCGTAAAATACATTTGCACATCACATTTTCCAATGATTCTCAAATGACGCGTCCGATCTAAATCCCTCCTTTCTGCGAGTTTCTCTACTCTGATTGTCTATTGTTATCGGTCTACGGCTTACCGCGTGGAAACGAAACGACAATGACCATTGTTTTATAAGTAAAGTAGGGACAGGTGGATAATACTTTTGCACCACAGATTCTGTCAATTGAGCTGATCTTGTACTGAGCATGGAACATTCCTTAATATTGTTTCCATTATCTTAACAATCATCATTTTGTGATTTTAACTTTTACCTATTATGTTCACATTAGGGCTGACAGAAGTGAAAGAGGAAAGTGAAGAACAGAATGTGGACGAGGATCCTCATATCGTCCTTACTGGACGACAGGTGTTAAGTTGCTCCGAGTCTGGGAGAAGGTTTGGGCACAAAAAATCTCATAGAAGTGGATTTTTCTTCTCCTGTCTTGAATGTAAAAGAAATTTTGAGTCTAAAGAGCACCTGATGGATCACTTCCGAACTCACTCTGGAGAAAATTGCTCCGAGACCACAACAAATGTGTTTCCAGTGCGAAATGGAGCTCAAAAAACGGTCAATATGCCCTTTGCCTGCCAACAGTGTCAAAAATGTTTTTTGTGTAAGGAACACCTGATGGAGCACTACAGACTTCACACTGTAGATAAACCTTTCCCATGTGATCAGTGTGGGAAGAGTTTCATTCATAAGCAAAGCCTTAAGAATCACTTGAGAGTTCACACGGGCTTGAGGCCGTACGTGTGCCAGCTGTGCGGGAAGAGTTACATACATAAAGATAATCTTACCGATCACATGAGGATTCACACTGGAGAGAAGCCTTTTGCATGTGATCAGTGTGGAAAGAGTTTCACACACAAAGGAAGTCTTCTGCATCACATGAAAATTCACACAGGACTGAAGCCTTTCACTTGCCGTCAGTGTGGAAGGCATTTCACACACAAAGGAAACCTAAAGATTCATATAAGACTGCACACTGGAGAGAGACCTTTCACATGCACTCAATGCGGGAAGAGTTTCATCTATCATGGAAACCTGATAGGTCACATGAAAAAGCATTCAGGAGAGAAACTATACCACTGTTCTCAGTGTGGAAAGAGTTTCATCGAGGCTCGACATCTCCAGAAGCACGAGAAAACTCACGAAACCGTGAAGCCCTTTGTTTGCTCTGAGTGTGGCAGAGGTTTTCTATGGCTCCACAATTTTAAAGAGCACCAGAAAATCCATACCGGCGAGAAGCCTCACGTGTGCTTCGACTGCGGGAAAGCCTTTACGAGAATAATTTACTTGAAAAGGCACCAAAGAATTCACACTGGCGAGAAACCTTACAAGTGCGCACAATGTGGATTGTGTTTCACGGTTTCTGATTCCCTGAAAGCCCACGAGCGAGTGCACACCGGAGAGAAGCCGTACAAGTGCCCGTCATGCGAGAAGTGTTTCGGGCGCTTGAGTACTCTGCTGACTCATAAGAAGAAGCATTGCCCAAATTTGCCTAAGTAAAGGTTGTGATTTGTTTCCAGGGATGTTTTTTATTTTTTATTTTGGGGAGTAGCAGTTCTGTATCCACATTAATATGCTTAACAATTACATACTTTATCATATGTGTTGTAAGGTGATGCATGGAAAGAATGGTGTTGGAAGCTTTAATAGTTGGTTTCTGAAAAACTTTCTCACAAACCTGCGACTTTCCTCTGTGGAACACGGAGATGTTTAGCAGATTCTCCAGAGTGTTCTTTGGTATGATGGGAACTGGGGATGTCGAGCTCTAAACAGGAGCCAAAAAAAGCACCATGAAACTAGTCCAGTGTTAAAGGGGATTGTTGTTATTTGCTGTAAATTTTCTTCTCTGCTGTAGCTTTCAAAACTCTCAAGTAATCGCTGTCCTTTGGAGTATGGCATGCCACACCAGGTTTGGCATCAGAAAAGTCATTGGCTCTTGCATGTCTCGTAAATAATGGCACAGCTGGCGTGTTTTTTTAAAAACATTGGATTAATTATTAATTTAGCTAAGTTGGTGTTCCCGGTCAAAAATGACTTTGGACATTATTAATATTATCTGTTCCTTCAGATTTTGCGTTGCAAAACAACCATTAATCATGACTGCTGTTATCTTGTCCATGCTGGAAAATAATCATAACCACCTAACATGAATTATGTAAATAATCTTAATATCACGGCCATTCAAAACCAGGGTCTACTCACTGAAAATCTCATTGGGCGGGATTTAATGTAAACACAGATATCGAATGCAAGTCCTCCTGTCTAAAGTGAGAAACAGTCGGGCCAAAAAATTGGATCTGGTCAAAAGAGCGTATCTGTGCAAAGGAGAACTCTGGCGCAAAATGAACCTTTTGTCTAATAAAACTTTGGTACCTAGTTAGATTTGTTTTCATGATAATCGAATGTAAAGGGTTTTATCTCTAAAAACTGTTTAGTCTATAACGCTAGTTTATGGGGGTATTTAATAAGTAAAAAGAAATCTCTAGTTAATACCACTAACAAGGCTCATAATAGCCCCACACTAACACAGTAACATAATGAGGGTCCATACATGCAAAACGAAGCATTGAGAACTTTGCAAGTGTACAGACTGTTTAATAAGAAGATACTTAAAGAAGACAGTCCACTTCGTGTGTACACAACAGGAGCCATCTTTGGACAACAAAGATCTTGATAAGTCGAACTACGAACGCCGTGCCAAGTGAGCTGAACTGTATGAAGTTCAGCGAACTTCTGAACTGTATGAACAGCGTTCATGGTTCGACTTTTCGAGACTGTTTTCTCCTGCCAGTATACGCGAAGTGCACTGACTTTATAAAGTATCTTCTTATTAAACAGTCTGTACACTTACAAAGATAGTCTGCAGTGTACATGCAGCCAGTCAGATCAAATACAGAACAAAAGAGAGCAAGTTATTAGAAAGATTGAATTCAATATTAGCGATAACATTGGCATGTTATCTAAAGGAATATCATTTTAGAATATCACCGGTCATTTTTAACCAGGAACGCCAAGTGTAGCAATGTGGGGGAGAAGAAAATAATCTCTGGTTCAAAATGAACACATATTACTAATAAAATAAGGTTGTTTTGGGCATACTAGTATTCACACTGTTGGATAACAAAAATCAGTCAAGCCCAGGTGTGTGTGAGTTTATGGTTGGATAGGATGCATTAATTGCATTATTTAGGTGTATTATAACCAAGGCCACAAATATGTAGTGTGCAAACTGTACATAATGAAGTTAATAGAAATAAAAAAAAGGAGCAAAATCATCTTGTGTGTGTTTGTAATATTTATGAAACAAAGATTGGGTATGAAATAATTGTGTATACTCTTGTTAATTGTAAATCATCGTTTTTGGGTAAACTTTTAACAATCAAAATGTATAATTAATAATATATATAATATATATATATATATATATAATTTTTTATAAATAATTAATACAAGGTGTTTTAGGCAAGATAAAACAACTATTTGAAATTGTTTATTGCACCAAAAGTACACAATAAGGAAACAAGAAATACATTCACATATAATGTGCAATCATTTGAGGAAGGGTAGAAGAAAAAATGAGAGGAGAAAAACTTTGATATTCATATTTTGTAGATAAAATTTCTGTGAATTACGTCGGTTAGAGTCCCACCGACCTCGGGCAAGGCTGAAATCACCCATAAGTCTACAAAGAATGTTGATTGTGAATGAAAAGTCACTTGTCACCGAGATTTTATTTCTTTGTGAACTGACACTAATTTTTCACTGAAAACTGCATAAAAAACTGGTTAACACTTTCATGGATACATTATTTACATTACCCACATAAATGTGAGATTGCTTAAAATGACATATACAAATGAGATAAATAGGGCAATATATTATAATATTATTTATAATAATGACAATGTTTTGACCCAGGCACACTGAATGATTTTCAGTTCTTTTAATTTGTAATACTATTTTGTAATATTACTGTTTTCACTGTGTATTTAATTAAATAATTATTTAACGCAGAAGAGGTGGACTGGGATGAGAGATGAGCAGGCTGAATTGTAGGTGGGTTACGGTCAGCATCATATTCGAGGAGGAATCTCAGTATTATATTTAGAATACAACATAGATGACATATCAAATGTTTAAACTGAGAAAATGCATAATTGTAAGAGAAAAATAAGTTGATTTTAAATTTCATGGCATCAACACATCTCAAAAAAGTTGGGACAAGGCCATTTTTACCACTGTGTGGCATCCCCTCTTCTTTTAATAACAGTCTGCAAACGTCTGGGGACTGAGGAGACAAGTTGCTCAAGTTTAGGAATAGGAATGTTGTCCCATTCTTGTCTAATAAAGGCTTCTAGCTGCTCAACTGTCTTAGGTCTTCTTTGTTGCATCTTCCTCTTTATGATGCGCCAAATGTTTTCTATGGGTGAAAGATCTGGACTGCAGGCTGGCCATTTCAGTACCCGGATCCTTCTTCTACGCAGTCATGATGTTGTAATTGATGCAGTATGTGGTTTGGCATTGTCTTGTTGGAAAATACAAGGTCTTCCCTGAAAGAGACGATGTCTGGATGGGAGCATATGTTGTTCTAGAACTTGGATATACCTTTCAGCATTGATGATGCCTTTCCAGATGTGTAAGCTGCCCATGCCACACGCACTCATGCAACCCCATACCATCAGAGATGCAGGCTTCTGAACTGAGCGCTGATAACAACTTGGGTTGTCCTTGTCCTCTTTAGTCCGGATGACATGGCGTCCCAGTTTTCCAAAAAGAACTTCAAATTTTGATTCGTCTGACCACAGAACAGTTTTCCACTTTGCTAGAGTCCACTTTAAATGAGCCTTGGCCCAGAGAAAACGCCTGCGCTTCTGGTTCCCGTTTAGATATGGCTTCTTTTTTGACCTTAGAGCTTTAGCCGGCAACGGTGAATGGCACGGTGGATTGTGTTCACTGACAATGTTTTCTGGAAGTATTCTTGAGCCCATATTGCGATTTCCATTACAGTAGCATTCCTGTGTGTGATGCAGTGCCGTCTAAGGGCCCGAAGATCACGGGCATTCAGTATGGTTTTCCGGCCTTGACCCTTATGCACAGAGATTGTTCCATATTCTCTGAATCTTTGGATGATATTATGCACTGTTGATGATGATAACTTCAAACTCTTTGCAATTTTTCTCTGAGAAACTCCTTTCTGATATTGCTCCACTATTTTTTGCCTCAGCATTGGGGGAATTGGTGATCCTCTGCCCATCTTGACTTCTGAGAGACACTGCCACTCTGAGAGGCTCTTTTTATACCCATTCATGTTGCCAATTGACCTAATAAGTTGCAAATTGGTCCTCCAGCTGTTCCTTATATGTACATTTAACTTTTCTGGCCTCTTATTGCTACCTGTCCCAACTTTTTTGGAATTTGTAGCTCTCATGAAATCCAAAAGGAGCCAATATTTGGCATGGCAATTCAAAATGTCTCACTTTCAACATTTGATATGTCATCTATGTTGTATTCTAAATATAATATTGAAATTTGAAACTTCCACATCATTGCATTCTGTTTTTATTCACAATTTGTACAGTGTCCCAACTTTTATGGAATTGGGTTTGTAGTACCTGTCCATGTCCAGGACCTTCCATGCACTCTTGTGGATGCCATCGCCAGATACAGGACAGTCTGAACTTCTACATATGGTAGGGCATCAATACCAGAAGCCTGTATTTAAAAAAACAGTCTGGAGATGGAGCTTGGCGTCACTTGAACCCTCAGGTTCTAGACGTCCAGAAATGGTGCAAAATGCGAACTTGAAAATAAAGGAAACCTATAGTGCATATTGCCTTCTCTTAATGCAATCTCTAGATGCTGAAAACACCTCAAGCCTTGTTACACACTGAGTTGCTCTTCACTCTGAAACATGTTGCACCACAGACTAATAGGGACTTTAAGCAACAGCTGCGAATGGAACGGCTACGGCATTCTGGCGTTGCATTGCGCATGCGCGAATTTAAATGCTCCTTCCTGACGTTCTACTGTAACCGTCTACTACGGGAGAACAGCTGATTTGCCGTAGTCGCTACAACGTGAGAGATTAGGTAAATAAACGTTGTGTTTTATGGCATATGACATTGTTATTTCATCAGTTTATTAATGTACCATTAGTCTTTTATATAATATATGTAAAAATGTTTAAAATGTAAGCTAATTTTAACGATTTTGTCCCGTTTGAATAAAGATATGTCTGCTGTTAGCAACAAAACCTCAGGTAGCACTGAGATCAACGTTAGAGATGATGTGAAGCGAACAATGTAAGTATTACATAAACATCCTTCTCAAAATCCATCTTAAATATATTAATTTACTATGCTATTTAAATGTTTTTCATACTGGGTAAAGTAGATTAACAGATAATAATTAGATTAATGGATTAGTTATTATTAGTATCTATCAAGACCGTTAATTATACTTACTTTTCAAAAATTAGCTATAGTTACTTCATGTTTCTTGTTGATTAGAGCCCCTATGGAGTGGACAGAGCAACATGATGTCCTTCTCTGTAGAGAAATCCTGCTCACAGAACCATTCAGGTACAAGAAGGGCAGTGTTGATAAGGGCAAGGCCTGGTCAGCAATTGCAGACACACTGAATAGCTCACAAGATCTCAAATTTAGAGTTATGCAGAGGTCAGTGAGGGAGAGATTCAGCTTGATTCAGGCGAAATACAAGGCCAGAAACAACAAAGATGAGAAGAGCAGCGGCACATCGGCAGAAATAACAGAGCTTGATGAACTGATTGAAGAAATAACAGAGAAAGAAAAAGCAGCTGAGGAAAACAAAGCGAGTGATGAGAGTATGAGGAAGTTAGAGACCGACAGGGCCAAAGCAGAAGAGGCAAGGAAGAGGGCCATGGAGAGGGTTAGCCAGACCAACAGGAGACTTAGTGAAGAGGGAGAGGACTTGACAAACAACAAACGTAGGAGAAGGAGTGGGAATGACACCATTGATTTTTTGAGGGAGAGAAGCCAGACTGAGAGGGTTCTAAAGGAAAAGGAATTGGAATTGAAAAAAATAAAAGTTGAAGGGCAAGCAAAGGCAGCACAAGAAGCACAAAAGCAGATGAGCGACATGATGCAACTAATGCAGCAGCAGCAACAGCAAATGCAGGCAATGCAAACTATGCTACTTCAGCAACAACAACAGCAAGGGCAAGCATTACTTAGCCTAATTGAACATTTGGCAAAGAAATGATTATTTTATCATTTTATTGCAATTCATAAAACATTTAAATGCATAAATCCTTCTATTAATAAATAAATTAACAATTATTAAATAAATATAAATATAAAATAATAAAAACATAAAATAGCATATTTTCAATAACATTTTGTTAGTAGCATATACTGTATGTAAATTGTCTGTTTTGTGTAAACTAATATATATATATATATATATATATTTGTTAATAAAAAAATAGAAATCTGTTATAAAATGTCTCATTCTTTTATTCTGTTTTTATATTGTGTGTTTTTTATACTGTTAAATTCTAACACAGTATAGTTGTGCTACCTCATGAGAAATAGTCACGAATGTGTGGAGGATCCAAGTTAAAAAACTGCGATGTCTGATTACCGTACAGACAAGTTAGTGCATTTCTTAACAAAGCAGACACAACATACAATTTTCCAACACTACTCAAACCAATTTTTAAATTTTTTTTGAAGTCCATGAACTTGAAGTAGTTTGCTATGTCCCCAAACAACCACTCAACAGACACTCTGACTTCACTCATTCGTTTGTTGTATTCCATCATTTGAGGGGTGAGATGAACATGTCGAAATGGGGCTTGTAGATGCACACGCAGTGGGTATGCTGGGTCCCCATACACACACATTGGATGACCATCTACAGACATGGCATGATGTTGCAGTAATTCCAACAGCCCAGATTCTGCCAGCATTCCAGAGTCATGCTTCTTTCCCTCTGTTAATATATATATTTTTTTTTATTTTAAAATGTTTTTATTTTATTTTATACATTTAAAAGGGAATGACAATGTTTTCGTAGATTACAAATTATTTAGACTTACCTACAGGACCATACAGATGGCCAATTAAACCATTAGGAATGGCTACTGCCTGGTATTTTAGACTGTGGATGCGTTTATGACCATTATATAAGATCCTCTGTGTTACACCTGGTCTGGCAATGGGTCGTACAGTGCCATCAATAAACCCAAAGCAATTATCCAGAGGGGCTCCCATTTGGAGGATGCAGTCAGCAT